TGACCTTTTGAAATACATTCTCTGCTAGACTTCTGAGACATCAGTCTCCTGGTGTTCCTCATAGGAAAATGTCACGCTTTGGTCTTATTTCCTGATCTTAACACTGCAGAGCCCTAGACCCTGGTTCCCTTCTATCTTCCTTCTCTACTCTCACCCTCTTCCAGCCTAACTTGAAGTCCATCTCAATGCTGATCTCTCCCAAGTAAGCACCTCTAATTCAACCTTCTCCTGTAAACTCCAGACGCATACAATCAATGGCTACCTGATGTCTCTACCCCGATGTCAAAAAGGCAGCTCAATCTAAACATGTGCAATAGCAAACAAGATTATGAACACGTTCAGCATGGTCCTTTCAACCTGCTGAGCCCTCCAGTCTCCCATATCTTAATAAATGACAATGCTACCTCCCAGCTGCTTGGGCTTAGAGTCTTCCTGACTCTCCTCTCTCTTGTAATTTTCACTCAGTCTCTCAGTTCTGCCTTCCAGTTCTACTTCCAACTACTTACACTAGATTTGCTTAGGGACTCTGGTTCAAACTAACAGTCTCTTGGTTGGATATTGCTCTAGCTTTCTAATGTTCTTCCTTTCTCTATTACCATTTGCTTACAATCTATTTTCAGCCTAGCTTCTGGAATCATTCCTTTTAAAGGTACACCAGAACATCATTCCTTGATCATAACCTGTTTAATAATTTCTTACATCTTTCTTAAATTAAAATTTGAAGTCCTTACAAAGAACTTTAAAGTCCTACACCATTTGGCTCCTGTTGTGTCTCTGACTTGAGAAGATTCATTTCCTTGTCTCATCTTTGCTCAGAGACAGAATGTGGCCACACTAATGAAACAGCATGTTCCTTTTCCAACCCACTTGAGTATTTCTTATTCCTGAGCCTTTACCTTCCTCTGCAATACTTATGCATCATCTTACACACTGTATCTTTACTTAGTTGTTGGTCATTTCTTTTCACTAGTATTTGATGACATTAAAGACACATCTGTTTTGTTCCTTGTTACATTGCTGTTAGCCAGGGCAGTGCATGGTATATAGGAAAAACTCAATACATATTATTGAAGGAATGGTCAATAAGCTCAAATAACATTTTATAAAGATAGCATGAAATAAAGGGCAGGTAGGATATGGTGAGACTTAATTTTTAAGATGTATAATATTGTAGAATGCTTATATGCTACTAGAAGTGACCTAGAAGAGACAAAATTTGAATTTGTGGGAAGAGGGAAATCTATGTGAATTATATCCTTAAGTAGGAAATAAAAGCAGAACTTGAGGAACAGATCTTAGGAGAAAAGATAGTTTATCTAGGAAAACAGGCAACATAACAAAGATAGGAATAGAGATGCAGGTAGGTTGGATCTTACATGTTCCCTAATTGCTTCTTATTTCTTCTTCATTTTATTTTCTTTCTGCATTAGTTGATATGATTGGAATCATTAGAGATTTTAGAGACAAGGAACAGGTAGGCAATGATTTTCCAGAGTGGGAGATTAAAAAATTAGGGGAAGACAGTAGGAAAGTCAGACCTCACTCATACTTAGTTGCCATGAATTGCACGTGGGACCAGTTGTCATGGTAGTGTGTTTGCCCTAGTGTGTTCAGATACACATGCAGGAAGGTGTACCCAAGTTAGATTTTGGTAGGCTTGGTGCATTGCTAGGCAAACATGAAGCAGTAAAAGATGAGAAAGACTGTTAACAGTTTATGTAAAAAAAGAAATTGCAACAGGAATCATGGGATCTGGGCTGCGTCAGGTGGGGGTGTGACAGAATGGGGGTGAGCATGGGGTGGGGATAGTCTGAGGCATTGTAAAAGTGAGAAGATAAATGAAAGGGCCCTTCCCATGACTTTGAAGAATTTTAATTTGGGGAATAAACCATAAATATAGGAGTTATTGGTTAGAGAAGACGTTTGAAAGTGGGACTCTGAGGGAAGAAGCTATTAGCAGTAACAAAGTCAAGCACCTGACTGTTGGGATAGTTGGAAGAAATTACATGGAAGACAACCTTGATGGGGAGAAGGTGAAGAATTAGAGGCCAGGGTACTGGAAGGATCAATGATGCACAAACTGAACACACCGACTGTCAAACCAAGTACAACTAAGAAGAAAACAATGGCAAGATCTAGCACTTTTTTTGGCCCGATAATGACTTGCAGTTTTATTGACAATTACAACATGGAGAGGGAGCAGATGGTATAGATGTATTGGCATAACCTTCAAAGGAAGCAGGGGATTTTCTGAGGAAGACATGGAAGTGATCTGGAATTGTAATGAGGTGTAAAGAAGGCACCTCACCCCATTTTGAAGCTCAGTGACAGGAAAGATGCTCACAGCAGAAACAAATTAGAAGGCAGGTTTCAACTGGAACAAAAATGTGAAGGAAATGCTCTGAGAAGTTAGTAACACAAGGAATTGTGATTCCATCAACAAGACCTATCTTTATGAGCAATTGTGCTTCAATACTGAGAAATTTCCATTTTTAAAATATGATAAAATAAGACAATAGACTGTTCAAAGGCTGTATGAAGTTTCTTGGGTTTCTGTACCGAAGCCCACAAATTAGGCAGTTTAGAACAACAGAAACATGCTGTCTTATAGCTCTAGATGCTGAATGTCTCAAATCAAGTAGAATGATTCTCTCTCTGAAATCATCAGGTTTTCTAACTCTTCCGATCCCCATCTCTTCTAGATTCCGGGGTTCGCCAGCAGTCCTTGGCATGTCTGGCTTTATAGATGTGGTACTCTAATTCCCTGCCTCCTTGTCTTATAAGAACACTAATCATAGTGAATTAAAGGCTCACCTACTCCAGCATGACCTTGCCTTATGTAATTATACAATGGCCATATTTCCATATAAAGCCCCCTTCTGATGTCCTGGAGATTGGGACTTCAGAGGGGCGACAATCTGACCCATAACAGGGCTGTTGAGAAAAAAAAGCAATAGCTCTTTCATGGGATGTGTTCATATTTTAAGTAACTGAGGTTCTTCTTCTACTCAGTAGACAAGGCCTGGTAACCCAAGGATTTAAAAAGTTCTCATTATATCCCCAGCACTTGGGAAGCTGAACACAAAGATCATAAGTGCGAGGCCAGCCTGTGTAATGAAGTGAGACACTGTCTCATAAATAAACTTCTTAAAAAGGGCTTGCTGTAGCTTAGCGGTAAAGATTTTACCCAACATGTATGACACCCTGGGTTCATGCTCCTCTATGTGTGTGTGTGTGTGTGTGTGTGTGTGTGTGTAAAATGCATCATAACCTACACAGACAAAAAAAGCATGCACTGTGTGTGTTTAAAGTCATATAACATGGATGTTTGTACTGATGGGTACTGATGCCACTGAATTGAGAGGATACCCCAGTGGGCTCAAAAAGAAACATCCAACTTCAAGTTGAAAGTCTTGGAGTCTCTTCCACTATTCTTTTAGCTCTATTATTTTAAAAAGTTGAACTAACTAAAGCTCACATGCTCAGCGGCCCACGAGTAGAGAATAGCTTGCACGAACATGATGCCATAATAATAGTCAGCTAAGAAGAGATGGAGACAGGAAAGAGAGGGAGACAAGTCCTCATTTTGTGGTTTACTCAGGAGTTACAATAGGGTGCCAGAAATTCAGCAGCTGAAGTATTCAGAAGTGCTTCTCGGCTACCTATTGGTTTTCACTTCTCTGGCTCTTTTTAAATGAGTCACAAGAGTCAGACATTCTTCTGCAATGGACAACACCTAGGCCAGGCAGCCACTTACTGTGCACTTTCTGCAGGCTGAGCTCTCTGGCAGGCCTGTGACACTCACAGTGGCCTGTACCCTGTGCCCAATGAGGTCTGCGCCTGTACCCTTGAGATCCCAAGTCTTGGTAAAACAGAATGAAACAAAGCAATCACTGATGGATAATTCTGCTGCTGGGACTGATCAGATATTTGACTCTTCTTACCTTGTCAGAGTGGTGCCAACATTTTAGAAGAGGTGGGTGAGGGTGCAGTTTATTACTTGAAGGTAATGTCTTTCATGAAAGATGCAGAATCCAACTGTTTAGTAGGATATCTATCCCTCTCTATTTCCTACACAGCTGGTAAGAAATGAAGGCCCTCACTCTATTACTCTAATTGAATTCCAACTTGGGTAATTACACTATAATTAAATAAATTTTCCCCATAGTTTTAATTCACTGACAAATAGTGCTAGTCAAACAGCTCTATTTCACTCCCAGAAACGCATCCCCACTATATTTCAGTGATAAGGGGAGTGATTTATATTTGGAAGATGCTTGTATGAAAAAAATGCACAGTTCATAAAATATTTTAGGTATCATTCATGATTACATATGCTTTGCTCAGCATGAGATAACATTAATTTCTATTATAATCTTTCATCTAATTTCTCATATGCTTAGAGCCAAAGGAAATAAGACAGTTAATTAGCATTTCTTGTTTTTTCGAACAGTTTTTGTAGAGTGCATCGGTGGCTTGTATCTATTTAGAATTCTTTTATTTCTAAAGCATATTTCATCATCCTTGGGGGTCAGACTGGGATAGGTATTGGAACTGCCCATTCTACCTATGACAAAGTTGAGGCAGCCTTCCCCAAGGTGAGGAAGCTAGTTATTATCATTACCATCTCAGAAGCCAAGCTTCCTCTCACCCCAGTCCAAGTTCTTCCTGTCAAACACTGGGTCACTATTCATCACACTAGTTTTTACTAATGAGAAACTAAAGAGCACATTTGTGAGCCATGTCACAGGTCATCAATTTGTAGTCATGAATGACTTAGTCAGGAGTTGGAGGCCGAACAGCTGGAACCCGAGGCTATCCTGGGATTCCAATATTGCGGGGCTTCTCTCTGGCTGTGTTACTTCCGGCACAGCCCCACTGGAGGAATGGTTCAAAAGTGGCGCTAAAGAATTCAAGTTCCAGATTTATTCTAATGACCTTCCTTGAAGTGTTCTAGGTAGTTTTTAATAAGAGGTTAAAGACAACATCAAAATACTCACAAAAAGCAGCAATAGGAGGGGTGTCACAACGATGCCCTGAAAAAAATAAAAGACATAATGAGCATTTGTCAGCCTGGAAAGCGGGACTGTTTTTGCAGTTTTGACCTCTGGTACTTGGAAATGCTCTCCTCTCAGGCCTATGTAATAAAATCTAGGTGATAAAGAAGACAGAGCCGCAATCCTGTCTCTCCTACCATCGCGTGTTAGCAGCTCAGCTTCGATTATTTGTGTTCAGTGTCACTAAACACCACCTATCTTTCTTAGACTCGTCTCTCCTCTTCTAAACCTAAGTTCCCTCTCACACTGCACATGTGTCACATGCATGGAAGCTGGTGGCTGGCAAGCTTTCTCACTCCAAGGCTTTCAACTCTAACTTGGATAAAGTGCCCCTTTTCGAGAGAAGACAGGTGGTTTAGTCCCAGTTGGGGTCCTCTCCTGAGCAAAGACCACGTCAGTTGTGATGAATGAGATGTCATGATTTTGTAATGTGAACTGATCTCCCCTAGGAAATGAGCCAGGATCTCAAAACTCATTTCACTTGATTAGACTCCATGTCTCCATGGTGGAAGGCAAGTCTTTCATCTAATTCAGCCACATAGGACCACCTCAGTCCCTCTGCCTCCCCCAGGCAGAAATGAGCAAAAGATTTGTTTTCTTCGATGACAGGGAACAGTTTGAGGCTGTTACCGATGAGGCAGAATACAAGCTTTTAGGTTTCTTGAAGGTAAATCTTTAAAACTAAGTGTTTGAGTTGGGAGTTAACATGACAGGTTTCAGTTTTAGAATAGCAGATGATTATTTGCCCCTCTTAGCTTTCCCTTTATCTACCAACACTTTACTATGATTTATACAAAAAAGAATTTCATATTTTTATTAGTGCATTCTATTTGGAACTTTAAAATTTCGGAGTCTGAGGCTGTGTGTGTGTGTGTGTGTGTGTGTGTGTGTGTGTGTGTGTGCACTCATCTATGAGAGAGGGGAGGAGGCAGGAAGGGAGGAAGAAAGAAAGAGAAGGAGACCAAACCATGCCTAGGATCCAGGTCTGGGATCACTTCATTACTTTACGAAAAACAGCCCTTTCGGTATTTATATGAAAGTTCATTGTTATTACAGTAATTAAATTGTTCTGGATGTGGTACAAGAAGCAATGGCTTATCTGACATGAACATTGAAACTGTGACTTTTTCTGTTATACAAACATGTGACAATTGGCACACAGACTTGTTTTATTAGAATGAATGTGTCTTTATTTAGCAAACTTTACTACATTTTAATTTAAGGTCCATACTTTTAAATCTATTTATTAACATCTGTATTTAGTGTAGCGACTCCATTGTGTACATGAGATAGGTCTCATTAGCACATTTCAGAAAGCTAGGTGCCAAATGCCAAAATAATTTTTAACTTAGAACGCCAACTGCCCTTCAATGACTTGGAATATGTTCAGACTTTAGGAGGAAATCCAAACTTTACAAGGCAATGTAAAACTGAAACTATCTAGCTGTTTCAGTGTATGTAGCAGCCATTCAATTTCAAGAGAATTTATTTAAATATTTATCGAGCATGCACTTAAATGCAAAGCTCTATGTTCCTCCCTGGACATTCAAGGGTGAATCCAACATGGTGCTTGTGCTTGAACAGCTTACAGCCCAACAAGGGATGCTGACCTATGAATGAAGTTCAATACACAGTGACAGATGGCATTAAATACCCTAGTGAGAGAGGGAAAAGTAGTATGCAGAAGAAGGGGATTATTTCACTATGAGAAGGAGGAGACACTGAACAGGTTGAAGAGTTTACTGGAAACTGTTCCGACAGAGAGAAGGGACATTCCAGAGGGGTACTCAGAAAGCTATGAGAAGTAGAGCAGGGCAGGAAAAAGTATGAAGGGGAGGTGCAGAGGCCAGATTACCAAAGGTATCTCGAGGCCAGGAAGCAGAGCTTGGGCTTGATGTTATCAACAACAGCAAACTACTGAAACACTTAAAAAATAAGGGTAGACTGACCTAGTAAATAATTTAATATGTGGAAAACGGATTTAATTTGGCTTATAACCTAACCAGCTTTTACCTTGATCAATTCAGCTAAATTCAGATAAAACAAACTAGAAACTTGCATTGTTATTTGTGGAGTATCAATACAAATAACAACACATGTGAAAAACAAACTTAGACTCGTCTCTCCTCTTTTAAATCTAAGTTCCCTCTCACACTACAAATGTGTCACACGCATGGAAGCTGGTGGCTGGCAAGCTTTCTCACTCCAAGGCTTTCAACTCTAACTTGGATAAAGTGCCCTGTCATAGGATAAAACTTTTTACCCAGGAACAAGGTTGAATATTGTCACCACTCTGGGGACACTTGGTTTATACTGGAGGAAATGATGGTGTGTATTGTACATGGGGTCTCATATTCTCTCCATTTCATGCATCTTTGTAATAATGAAATGGCAATAGTAATAGTAATTAAACCAGTACTATTAATAGTGTCTCATACTTTCACACAGAGTTTAAAATTTGACCCTCTTCTATTGAGGGAATTAGGTTTTATGCTGGCCTCATTTAATATATCAGAATATAGTATTTATTGCTCTTTCTGGCTCTGGGAGGCCTTTGGTAATCTGGTCTCTGTACCTCCACTTCATACTTTGTCCTACCCTGCTCCATTTCTCCCAGCTCTCTGAGCACCCCTCTGCTTTCCTGGAATGTCTCTTCCCTCTCTCTGCTGTAGTACTTTCCAGTAAATTCCTCAACTTATTCAATGTCTCCTCCTTCTCACTAGTGCAGTTGCTCCGTGCTCCCTTTCTTGGCAGCCATAAGTGAGTAGCTTGCTCCACTATACTCTTCTGTCATAACATTCTTGCTCTGGAGCCAGCTGATCATGGGTGGAACCCTCTGCAATCGTAAGCCAAATAAACCTCTCTTCCTTTAAATTGTGGATGTCAATTTTGTTCCAGTGACAATAGGTTAACTAATACACCATCGGCCACTGGGAGGCAGATGTCAGCTACCAGTATAATTTCCTAAAGAATTCTAATTATGGTATATACACAGTGATTTGCTGCCACATTTTTGTCTCAAGTTGACAAGTGATTCTTGGGGACGACCTTATTCTGGAAAGCAGAGCAAATTTCTCTGCCTGAATATCAACACAGAGTAGTCCTCTGCAGCTCTGCCGAAGACTTACAGTATTTATTCCTGAAATATTATGAGCTTGGTAATGAACAGAATGTATGTTTTAATACTGGGTTAAATATTCCTCATTGTTGTCTCAAGAGTGGCCGTTCAAGTTCATTAACCAAGACTGGACTACTATACACTGCTGAAATCTATCGTCTGGTATGTTAGGAAATGAGTCAGCCATGACGTCATTAACTCCGACAAGTGCACCATAAATTAAAAGTTTTGGTGAAGTCATCATAAATAATAAGAAAATAATAATAGGTAATACTTACAAAGTCCTTATGGTAGACACTTTGTTAAGGACTGTAGGCAATGCTCTTTTACGTAAGTGTCCTGTGAAGTAGCTTCTATTACTATCCCTGAGCACCAGGCAAGGAATGAGCCTCGGAGAGTCTGAGGGAGGTGGAAAGTGGCAAAGCCTAGAACTGAGACTCTTTCTCCTTGATTTCAGGGCCTGTGCTTTTGAATGGTGTAAACAGAATCTCTGCAATCGTAAGCATTTCTTTGGGGTTACAGCTTAAAAGGATCTGAGAGAAGCTTCAGACTCAGTTTGTCTTTTGAGAAGCCATCATGTGACACGGCTAATACACATTTTCAAGTAAAGATTCTGTACATATCGATGGCAAAAGGGGTGAGCTGAAAAGTTAAACTGTGACAACAGTAATCATTGAAAGCTGAAAAGTGAAAATAAATGTGTTATTTTCTTTTGGGTCAGTAAAAGGCTCAATTTAATTCTTTCTCCTTTCTGGTTCCTAACTTCTGTACAAATGGGGGAAAAAGTGGAGGATGAACACTTCTAGTAAAAGATGTTATGCCTCTTTGCAGATTCAGGGTCAAGATACAGTTTTTAGCATCCTTGTCAAGCTTTGGACTGTGACACCTGAAGAACTCAAGCCACAAAGTGATGAATTTCATTGTCTCCCGAAAAAGCTCAGAAAACCCATCTGCACCTTTGATGTGAATGACTGGGAGAATATATTTTGGTGAAGTTTTTGCAAGGAAAAACATGTCAAACTGAAGACACTGAGATTCAGTCACATTAACAAGAAACCCAAATATCAATAAAAACAATAATAAAACTGTGAACGTACTTTCCTCAGCAATAGGACTTATAAGGCAAAACTGATACATACTTTTTCTTTTTGGGAGACAGGGTCTCACTATGCAACTTAGGCTGTTTCTGAACTTACTATGTAGCCCAGCTTGGCCTCAAACTCAGTTGTTCTCTAGCGAGCATGTGCCACCATGCCTGGCTATGTATGTACATAAGTGTGTATGTATGTATATATTCATTCATTCTGATTGAAACCAGGGCCTTTCCACTGAGTTACATCTGCAGCCTCTTTTTATTTTGAGACAGGGTCTTACTAAGATGCCTAGCCTGGGCTTGAACCCTCGATTCTCTTGCCTCAGCCTCCCAGAGCAATGGGATTACAGTTGTATAGCACTATTCCCATTTTGAAGTAAAATACTGATTTGTTTATTTTGCAGTGCTGGAGACTAAGCCTAGGGTCTTATGCATGCTAGGCAAGTGCTTTACCACTGCCTACCCCCGATTATATTTTTATACCATAGCCTCTGATCACATTTTTAGTAGAAAATACTATGTATCAACTATACTGATCATAGATACTGAAACTGACTTTTGGGTTTATGGTTCCAGGATATTACATCAATTTAGCTTTCAGAAGGTGATAAAAGTGCTGCTTCGCAAGGCACTGGGGACCCTCTGGTTCAGCATCCCCTGCCCTGACATGTGATTCCCCTCTGCTCACCTCCCTCACATCTCCACTAATGATATGATCTGCGATGGCTGTGCTTTTGCCAGGGAACCGTCCCCACAGAAAATGCTCTT